TTAAATAATCCAAAATTGATGTTATGAAAAGATTAAAGATTGCAACTTTTCTCCAGCTACTAGAGAGAGAGGAGGTTAAAAGATGTGGGTTGTGGGCTAGGTGATCTTGGGTTGTATGAATTCAAAATTTAAGGCTAATATGGGTTGATAGGATTCAGCTGCTCTTCTAGTCCTACCTAGTAGGACCTACTTACGCAGGTGGGCTTGGGCGAATTTTGTTTTTAACATCAGGCCATTTGTGCCCACAGCCCAGTTGTTAATGGGCTGCTTAAAAGAATTTTCTTTTACCCAATCAATTAATATATGCATGAGGTTTCACAAATCACAGTCACAACAACTGGACGATAAGATCATTTTGGTTAAATGTACATTTTAATTCTTAAATTGTTAATTATGAATATATTTAATCTTTAAATTATTTTTGATAATTTTTTAATCCTTAAACTATGAAAAATAAACTTCTTTTAGTTATTCTATTGGTTAAACTTTTTGTCACATTTTTAGATTTTGAACTTATAAATTAAGGAATTAAATCTATATTATAAGTTTAAGGTTTAAAAATATATATTTAAATAAATTTAATTGATTAATTGATAAAATAATTAAAAATTATATTTTTCTTAATTTAAAATTAAAAAATACAAAAAATAATTAAAAAAACTACAAATATTTAAAATTAAAGTTTTAAAAATTAAAATTGACATTTAACCCAATTATTTTCATGTTTTTTCCACATAATTGTCATGTTCCCCAGTTCGGGTGACAGGACTCTTTTTCATTTATTTATTTTGAAGAAAGAGACAATACACTAACAAAGGGGGAGGGGAAAGGTTCCTATCACATCTAGTCATTAAATGTTTGATTCTTTGCAATTTTGCATTAAGATTTTAAATTCCCATAATAGGTGAAGAGGTGTTTAAAAAGAAAAGGTCATCTATTTTATAATTCATAAATCATGATTTGAAGTAAAATAACAAGTAAAGAAGAAAGGGGAAGTCACCTCCTGAACTAAACTCATAATTAAAAAAAAAAAATTTCATTTAACTCAAAACTCAAAAAGTAAAATTTTTAATTTAAACTTCTAATTTCTTTATTAATAAATCACCCTTAAAATTGTGGAATGACTACATTTGTTAAACACTTTTATTATATTTTTTTTAGTGTCAGGATAATAGATACATTTTAAATTTATCCTTATATCAAAAATTAAAAAAATAATAATTAGTGTTAATGATCAAAATAGTTTAATATTAACTTTGTTTTATTAAAAATAAAAAATTTTATATTTAAATCACATTATATATAAATAAAATAAAATAAAAAATAAAAAAATCATTATCATACAACTAACATAAAAAATAATAATAATAATAATAATTAGTCAAAGACGGACGGAAGAAATAAGAAATATAGATGTATCATTTTCGTACAACTAACATCAAAAAAGAAAAAAATAATAATAATAATTAGTCGAGGACGGACGGAAGAAATAAGAAATGTAGATGTATCATTTTCGTTTATGCAAAGCAATTAAAAGTTGAATCCTAAGCCATCCTAATTTGGAGGGAGAAAGAAAATACCAAATCCGGGGAATATTCCGCCACCCAACTGATATCCAAAAATTGCAGTCAAAATCAAAATCCTTTAGCTTCTTTTCTCCGCCATAATCACAGCAGAACTTCCCATAACATCAATGGAGGAGAAGCGAAGAACATAGAAACATCCAACATTCCATAAAACGGAGAGAGAACCCAATGGAGGGCTCTAAGCTCTGCGTGTTCCTACCCATCTTCTTGTTCATAGCAAAGACGATGGTGAGTGGGAAAACCATACCCACGACTCTGGAAGGTCCATTTCAGCCTGAAACTCGGCTTTTCGATTCTTCTTTACGTCGAGGCAGCGATGACTTGCCAATGGATAACTCCAGGCTCAAGAGGAACGTCACCGGTATGTTTCCGGAGCAGATTGCGCTGGCCATTTCCTCACCAACTTCAATGTGGGTCTCTTGGGTCACGGGTACTTTCTTTCCAGATGTTGATTTTGCTTCTGTTTCTTGTTTTTGCTACTCTGGGTTCTTTGATAGATTTGTTGATTTGGGTTGATTTGTGTTGGCTCAGGGGATGCTCAGATTGGCTCTAATGTGACTGCGCTCGATCCATCATCGGTTGCTAGTGAGGTTTGGTATGGGAAAGAAAGTGGAAAATATGCTTATAAAGGGAAAGGAAATGCAACTGTTTATAGTCAGTTGTACCCATTTGAGGGGCTCTTGAATTATACCTCTGGCATCATTCACCATGTGAGAATTGATGGTAAAAATGCCATTCCAATGTGGCATATCTTCCTTTTTGATCTGTTTTGGTTGATGTGGTGGAATTGGGAAACAGCCAAGGAATTCTATCCATTTAGCTCAGTTTATTCCATAGCTTTTGACAATGTCTTCCCTTTATTTATTTTTTATTTTTTTATTTTACATATTTAATCATATGTACTTGAACAAAAGAAAAAAAAAAAAAGAAACTTAGTTTATGGGGGCAATATTATGATTCTTTGTTTAATTTAGCTTCATATAGTAACATGGTTGTAAATGGAGAGACTGACATAGGACGGCACATCCTTAATTTCTCTATAGTCATCTTGTTTGGAAATTATGTGCCTTGTAGAAATGATATAACTAATGAGATATTGTTATTTTTGCAGGTCTTGAACCTGGAACAAAGTACTATTATAAATGTGGGGATAGCTCTCTTCCAGCTATGAGTGAGGAGCGTGTTTTCGAAACACTACCATTACCTGGCCCAAATTCTTATCCTAGTAGAATAGCAGTTGTTGGAGATTTAGGTCTCACCAGCAATTCTTCAACAACTATTGATCATCTTGCCGAGAATGATCCCTCATTGATTTTAATGGTTGGAGACTTGACCTATGCAAATCAATATCTTACCACTGGGGGGAAAGGAGTCCTATGCTACTCATGTGCATTCCCAGATGCACCTATTAGAGAGACATATCAACCTCGCTGGGATGGATGGGGAAGGTAATCTATTGCAAACTTATATCTTATGCCTCTTTTTGTTGGCGGTCATACATACAAATGAAGTTTTTAAAATTACTTAGTCTACATTTTCTTTCTTCCTTGAGTATATGTTTTTCATGCATTCTCTGGATGATCATACGTTGTAAGCTTAATTAGTACTATTATAATATTCCATGCAATGTGATGATTGCATTGATGCTACTCAGCACCAGAATACCACCTGTATCATATTGAAGTTACTAGAACAAGATCTATATCTGATGATATCATTTGAAGTAGATGTCAGCAAAGCAAAATGTCTTTCTCTTTTCAAGTATTTTAACAAAGTCTTAACCATAGTGAACATACATGTGTCAGCCTTTGATTTTCCTGCCAAATTTTTAATAACTCAGGAGTTTTCTATCTAAACTTTATCATGTAAAATTTGACATGTTGAAAGAGAGAGAGTTCTTCACATTCTATGAGAAAAATGCAATAGTAAACTTTCATTTCACACCCTTACAAAATCTTTTGACTCAATAGTTGAGATTATCTTTAGTAGCTTAATGTGTCAGTCTGTATGGTTGGTAGCTTGATGATTGAACAAAGACTTGCAGTGCTGCTCAAGCTAGAGAAAGCCACTTAGAAATTAAAAGTTCCAATGAAATGTACAAAATAGTGATTATGATTATTAATGCCTGTTTACCTAAGAAATCAAGTAATGTCATGTTGGATTTCTATTGACAAAGTTGAACTGGAAATCTAGGTTTATGGAGCCACTGATCTCAAGAGTTCCTATGATGGTCATTGAAGGCAACCATGAGATTGAACCTCAAGTTGCTGAGATCACTTTCAAATCATATTTGACAAGATTTGCAGTTCCAGCCAAGGAATCTGGCTCGAATAGTAACTTCTTCTACTCTTTTGATGCTGGAGGGGTACATTTTATCATGTTGGGAGCCTATGTTGACTATAATAGTACAGGTGTTTACCATAATTAATGTCCTGTTTATTTGTATATCATTCTAAGTTTTGCTTTTATGTTTTCAAGAATGAGACAAATTTTAGTAAACTCTCTCACTTTCAATTCTAGGTGCTCAGTATGCCTGGCTAAAGAAAGATTTATACCAGGTGGATCGAAATGTGACTCCATGGCTGGTAGCCGCATGGCATCCACCTTGGTATAATAGCTACTCCTCACACTACCAAGAATTTGAATGCATGAGGCTGGAAATGGAATCACTTTTGTATCAGTATGGTGTTGATATTGTTTTTTCTGGCCATGTAAGTTAACTTGTTCTAGATATCTTAAACCAGAATGGATGCATTCATTCTTAAACCTATGTTTCTCCTTCTATATTGATTGGTGACTCTTGTATTATCCACTGTTTAGGTGCATGCTTATGAGCGGATGAATAGAGTCTACAACTACACATTGGATCCATGTGGACCTGTCTACATAACAGTTGGAGATGGTGGAAATATTGAGAAGGTTGATGTTGATCATGCAGATGATCCTGGAAAATGTCCCTCCCCTGGAGATAATTTACCAGAGATCGGTGGTGTATGCCATTTGAATTTTTCCTCTGGTCCTGCTAAAGGCAAGTTTTGTTGGGATAGGCAACCAGAATGGAGTGCATTTAGAGAAAGCAGCTTTGGGCATGGAATACTTGAGGTACTATCAAAGTTTGTGATGTTATGCAGACTATCTTTGATATTCTAGATTTGCCCAAAGGTTGGGCAGCCATTCTCCAAAAGAAACCTCAAGGTACCTTGAGGTTAGTTTTGGACATTATCAAATATTATAATACCATTTTCTCAGTGACCAGGAAGTCATTTTTATTTTCAAGTTTCCTTTGTAGCTTTCAGCCCATTAACTGGCATTGATTTGCTGATAGAACTGATTTTGTTCAGTGCAAAGGGCTTGTTTGGTTGGTGGCTAATGGCTATTCCTTGGTCAAACTTTAAAAACAAGCTAAAATTGAAAATTTTCTATAGGAAGCTAGGAATAGCTAAGCCTTAATTGTCTAATCTTTCCTTTTACATTAAAAAATAATCAAGGAATGCCTATCCCTTAAAAAATGAAAGGGATACGTATTCCTCATTCATCCCTTATTTAGTAGAAAATTATCAACATTAATGCCTATTCTGCACCATTAATAAAATTCAACCAGTTTTGTCTCTAGTCTTCAGTCTTGACAATGATGTTTCTTTTCTTTGTTAATGCAGGTAGTGAATTCAACATATGCACTATGGACTTGGCACAGAAATCAGGATATTTATAAAGAAGATAGTGCTGGTGATCAAATATACATTGTGCGACGGCCTGAACTCTGCTCTGCCTCAACATCTTTAAAAGTAATCTCTTAATTCAACATCTACTTTGAAATATACATTTGTTTCTTATTATTAAGAAGTATGAAGTTTGTTTACATACAAAACAACAGCATAAATCTCATGACACCATTTTGTATGGAAACATACTATTTTTGCAAAGTCATTGGAATTTGAATAATTTCTGCATATTCCTCCTCTGTTCACTACCATCTTCACTGATGTAAAGATTGCATTACAAGCATCAAGTCATCCATTATTGTAATAATATTGGAATCGTATCTTAAACTTCATTACTGTATTAGATTGCAGTAATCCACAACACTCTCATCAATCCTTTTTTCCTCTTCATATTTCCTCTGTGACAGGGAAATAATGTGACCCAACAAGGTGCCCAAACAAACCAGAGGGCAGCCATTTCCGCTAACTGGATGTGGGTTATGTCACTGATCATCATGATTCTCATGGCTTTCTAAATAGATTATTAGCATTATTGATCAAACAAGTCCTTGCCAATTTTTCTATATTGCTGTACATAGTTCCCTGCCTTGTTCTCCTTATGCCTTCCCGGTTCAAAATCTATAGAAGAAGTCATCCAGCAGCTTAAATGTCCTGAGTGGCTGTGAAGAACAAGGAGAATCATTCAAAGGGTTTGCTTTTATACGGTTACTGGTTATATTCACCAAAAAAAATATCGCTTTTAATTTTACTGCATGCTTGGTTACTGTGAAGGCTCTTTTGAAGTTTGATACATTGTGCAATACTGAATTTTATGAAGTGCAATACAATGTTATTTTATTTTGTTCTTTTTTTTTTCATGCTTCTCGTGGTGGAATCATGTAGCGGTATTATAGTTTTTATTTGGATACCACTGTATGCAATCTTAAGCCTGACGAGTACTTGCAAATTTGGTATGGTTTTACACAGCTTTTATCTCTCGGCGAACCCAGTCACCATAGACCTACTTGTACAAGACTCCTAACAAGAGAGTTCTTCCCAAGGTTTTGGATGGTAATCGAACCACCAAGTCGGCCCATGCCTTTCAAGCACATCTGACTCACTAATTGGCTAAGTAAGCTTTGTCACAGTGGAGCAAGTACTAAAGGATATGAAGGCTGATTTAAGTAGCAGACTTCTGAGTTTGGTTTCATCATATATGTAAAGAGGTGGCCATTAGAAGATTGGCTCAGAGAGTTTCAGTTTGCTGATTCAAAAGCTTTTTGGAACTTGAGGTCTTCTCTACTATGGCATCATATAAATCTAGGCCTTTGACGTTTTCATTGTACTTGTAGTTTCTGATTTTCCATTTAAGATGGCAGGTTGTGGTTCTGTATGAAAATATTTCTGAAAAAACTTTTGACTTAAAGATCGTGGCCAAGGTGTGCAATTTGCATGTTGACTGATGGTTAAATACTCTGTACTCATCAACTTTAGTTTCTAGCTACTTGTAGTCTTGGCCAAGTTAAAAAGTCCATCGAACTTGCTAAGCATTGGAAGATTAATCCATGTTATAAAGTGGCTGGTCATCCCCATCCATGATTGCATCTTTAACGTTAGTGTACTTCGGAGTATAAATTATACAGTCAAGTAGGAAACTAAGGGTGTGCCATTGTCCATTTCACTAAGATCTACTCTGGTCATTGGATGATCCTTTGGATAAATTGGCTCCTCTGGTGCAATGGTAGAACGAACATGTGAAACTCATAAAAGCCTCTTGATTTTGAGTTACGTCCGCCCTATTTACTTGCTGAACAAGAAGAAAGAACACAAGAGGATATGATCAAGTTTGGGTTCTCTATGACCCAATTCAATCTGTTAAACTGCTTTGTGTAGGGCATTGAACAATGATTGAGAATGGCAATGGAAAGGGATCTAAGGGCATGTTTGATATAGAAGTTCATTAAAATAATACTTACAATAACTTGAGTTTTAGAACTACAATAATTAAGATGAAATTCAAAATCATATTTGCACATTTCTCGAAACTAATCTCAGATGCACTATTTAAACTTTAAAAGAGTCTTTGTAATTATCTACCAAAACAAATTAAGACCCAACCATGTAAAATAATTATTCCAAACATTCTTAGCAAATTCACATATTAGCATTTAAATGGTTAGCATTCTTAGTGCTTATTAGTGTAGTTGGAGCTTTTAATAGAAGTTATGTTGGAAAGAAATTGGTGTAGAAGTGTTGTTTTTATAAATAGAAAGAAAAATAAAGGTAAAAATAAAAGTAATGTATTAATTTGATTAAAACTCAAATAAAAATTTCCTACAAAAGTACCAGTTTGATGCTTATGAGATTTGCAATAAAATATACAAAAGATTAACTTATGAAAAATTATAGTATTTTTCACAAGTTGTAGTGTTTGATGCAGTTAGAACTTTTAAAATCCAAAAAAACTTTCCACTAGTCATACCAAACATGCACTCACTCCTCCCACCTCCCCTCCCCCCAACAATAATCATAAGTAATATTAATATCATCTACAGCTTAGGTGAATAGAGTAGTATGCAAGTAATTTATAAATTACTCAAATTAAACTTGACTTGAATTTAACTCTTACGATAAATGGGTCAAACTCAAATTCAATATTAAGTTTGGTAAAAAAAAAAAAGGGTTTGAATTCTAATTTACATACCTACTCGTAAATTACTCAATTTAAAATTTAAAAAATATATAATAAAACATAATAACTGTATTAAATGTAGATTTCAAGTTTAAGGTTAAGAAGAAAAATAGTCGTATCCATACCAGGGTAGTACTACGAACTGCAAGGAGATCGGGGAAGACTGGGGAAAGGAAAGGCTATTTATGCATTTCATTCTAGTTGTTTTGTTCATTGGGTTTTTCAATTTTGTCATTGTGAATTGAACAAGTATGTGACCAGAAGAAGTTTTTCACAATTTAGATTTGATATTATAGAGGATCACAAACAAGTATCTTTTTTTGTCTAATACATAATGAATTACTGACTATTCTAACAAAGAAAATGTTAACACACTTAAATCTTGAATTCTATACCTAGGTTTTCCTTATCTAAAATTTCTTACTATAAAAAAAAAAAAAAAAAACAAGCATCTCTCTTTATTCAACCTTCACTCTCCATAGAAAATAATGCTTACAAATATATTAAAGACACAATATGGTAAGGTAAATAGAAAAACATAATTAATCGATCCCTTCGAATCTTAGACTTCTAATCTTGCAAACAGTGACTAACTGGTACAAGACAAAGGGGTGTCTTCCTCTGACAAACGAGCCCACCTTCTTCCTCCATGCTAAAATCTTCCCTCCTCATCCCACCAGGCAATTCCCAATCAAACCAATACAATAGGTTGGCAAGTGCATACTCCACATTTGTAGTTGCCATGGCCAAACCAGGGCAAATTCTTCGACCAGCTCCAAAAGGCAGCAACTCATAATTGGATCCTTTGAAGTCAATATCATTGTCCTCGAATCTCTCGGGGTAAAACTCATCTGGGTTTTCCCATGAATTTGGATCTCTCCCAATAGCCCATACATTAACAAAGATTCTTGTTTTGGGAAACACATCAAAACCACCAATTCTACATTGGCGCACTGCCTCGTGTGGGACTAACAGAGGAATTGGAGGATGCAGCCTGAAGGTTTCTTTAACCACCATTTTTAGGTATTTTAGTTTTGCAACATCCTCTGCCTCCACCTTTCCTTTCTTTCCAACGGAACTCCTAATTTCAATTTGTACCTTCTTCATGGCTCTTGGATTCTTGATCAGCTCTGACATTGCCCATAACATCGTAACTGAACTAGTATTTATCCCACCAAGAAATGTATCCTGAAAAGTGAATTAAAAGAATTAAAAATCTTATTACTAAGGATGAAACAGGACAAAAGGGGTGAATATCTAGAGACATCAGTGAAGATTTGGACTGTATCTAAATGAAAAGAAAGAACTTGGAGATATTAATTCAAAGGGAGTAAAGCAGAAACAATATACCAGGAGTATTGCCTTAACATGGTCTTTTGTGAAACCGAAACTGGCACTTTGCTTCTTCAGCAATCTAATTAAGACATCAACAAGATTTTCGTGTTCGGATTCAGGCCTGGTGGGATCAAGATGCTGCTCAACCACTGATTCGACGAAAGCGTCAAGCCTTCGGAAGCTCTTCTGGCGCCTAGCTTTGAGTCCTGTCAAAACATCCACAAGCCTTCCCACTGATGGAAAAAAGTCTTCCGCAGCAAAGCCAGCCAGCATTTCCATGGCCTCACTAAGAACATAATAAAATTCCTCACTCTTGAATTGATTTGTTCCGTATATCTTACCAAAGGCCACAGTGCCGATGATACCATCTGCTAGGCCATATAGCTTCTCGTTGAGATTGACCGGCGTGTGGGAATTTTGTGTTAAGGTGTTGATCAATTTATCAACCTCAGCCTCTCTTGCATAAGCAAAGGATTTTACCCTCTTCATGCTCACAAGCTCGGAAATGAAAAGTGCCTTCATCTCCTTCCAATAGTCCCCGTAAGGCGAAAATGCTATGTCTAGGTAGTTGTAAGAGAGCAACTTTGGTCCAGGAGAAGGCGACCGGCTGCAGCAATCGAGGTCATGAGTTTTGAGGACATCTTTTGCTGCATCAGCTGAAGATACTACCAGAGTCTCTATGCTACCTAATTGTAGTAAAAGGATTGGACCATGTTCTTTGGACAGATTTTGAAGTGATTGGTGAGGTAAATTCCCTATTTGATGCAAGTTACCTATGATGGGGAGTTTTGGAGGGCTTGGAGGGAGCTTGAAACCCATTCTCCCGCTTTTCTTCTTGTTCTTGAGAAGAAGCATGGAGAGGATTAGAAGGAAGAGGAGGAAAAACAGAGAGGGGAACCATGAGATCAACATTATGATTTCTCTTTTTTCTGATGCAAAAGGAGATGGAACCATCATCTTAAATAGGATAAAATGTTGTCCGGTTGATGTAAGCAATTACACAAGCTCTTTAATTCTATAGAAATGTTCTAAGCAATCGCTATAAACGTTAGATAATTAACTGTGAAACTTCAACTCTAGAATTGTAGACTCCGTACGTGAATTATTCAATGGACCACCGCTTATAAAATTTGGAATAGCTAGGACACAATGAAAACTTCAGCCATAGAAATGTAAACTCCGCGTGTGAATTTTTGAGCCTACTGTTTACAAAATTTGGAAAAGATAACCCAACACGATTGCCATACGTACTAAGAGTAAGAGCCTCTTACATTTATGTAGTTCTTGTAGAAGTCATTACCGCATACAAATATCAGAAAGCTTCATGCATGCATGCATTTTATTTTATTTAAAAGAATTTTTTCAAATAATTATTGAAAATTAAATTTTCGATAAATTAAATCCAAATTCTTAAATTTAATGATAAACTATTAAATCTATTCGACTGATTCGAGTTGCATGCTTGCATTTGGCATACAAGCCGAAGAGGAATGGATGTACAAACGTACATCCGAAAATAGCAGAGCCTGTCTGGCCATTAAGGGGCCAGGCACTGATTATTTGCACATGGCTAGGTGTCGTACCGTGTTGGGCTTCCTTTGTTTGTGTTGTCTTGTATTGCTTTTTGTCTTCTTTTTTTTTTTTTAACAAATT